TCTTCAAACGTTAACTTATGATCGTGCCTCCAGGCTTCTAACCGTGCCCGATTACCTCGGATACGTCAGACGTCAATGCCCACGTCGGCTTAGATCTTCGGCACCACTGATCACGCTTATCCGGACCTGATACAAGCGTTAACTGCGGCCCCATTCCCTCGGACCGCTAACTTTCGAACTATTTCCTTCTAACCCATATCTGTTTCCGTTCTTCGCCATTAACCCGAATTACCCTCTGGAATTGCGCCTCCCCGCCGTTATTTAAATGCCCGATTTTATACTGGACAAATCTGCCAGGTGCCGTGCCTCTGGACCACGATCAATATCCGGTTCCACCAATCTCGGCTTCCGTTCTTTGCATTAATGACCATATCCAGTTTGTCAGCTGGTTCGCATGCCGATGGGTATGGCTGGTCCTTTTGTTATCGGTTGTTCATCGTTCGGACGCGTCGATGATTCGCTGATGATTCCATCGTCGGTTCATCAAATGATTCATATTCGTTATGATCCATTCCGTCATCGGTCGTCGTTCATCGTTGCCTTTGAACGTGGCGTTGCGGCATCCGTCGCCATTGTTCGCGCATCATGCGCAAGAGACGCATCATGCGTACTCGGGCGTCATGCATCTGGGAGGCCCATTCAACCCCGTTGCTCATGCAGCGTTGGTGCACGATCGCCAGCGCGAACCGCATCGGCGCCGGTGAAAATGCCGGCTGGTGCCGCATCGTGCGACGTTCGCGCATCGAGAAACGTCACCCTCGAACCCGCGTCTCCAACTTTCGTTGTACGTAATACCCTCAGACGTCTCTAGTTGTTTCTTTACATGTCATTGCATCTGAACGTCTCCAATCCTCCAGCCTGTCCCGTCCTGATATGCCACGTCTTATCGCCGTTATGTCTATTGCGTCAGACCGTCTTTACAACAATACGCGTAGACCGCGCCTGCCGATTCTTTACATGACCATTGCATCTGCGTCTCAACCGTTAACTTCATGCGCCTGGCCCGTTCTATTAACGCCTGCCTGTCGTTCTGCATGTTCATTGCGTCACCTCTTCCCCAACAGGTATGCTTCAACTTGCCGTTGTACGTGTTACTGAACCCGTCTTCGGCGCGTTCTTTAATACGCTGTCCCGACGCTTCGGGTGGCGATCTTCATCGTTTGTAACTGTCCTCGGGAACCTCGTCAGGCGACTATTGTCCGTGTTTATAACCGTTGCATGTCCATTGTCTGAACGTCTTCAACCGTTCTTCGGCGATACTGAACCGTCTTTCAACCGTTAATGCTGAACCGCCAAACGTTCTTGCATGTCCATTGCATCTGAACCGTCTTCAATGATTCTTCGTGCGTCAGATGCTCAACTGCATGTCCGTGCATCTGCCCCCAACAGACCTTTACTGTCCATTACGTCTTCCTACTACATGCCATATTCACGTCTTCGTGTCTATTGCATCGTTCGTCTTCAACCGTATTTGCCCACAGACCGCCTCAGTACGTGTCATCTGCGTCTTCAACCGTTCTTTGCATATAACCCGTCTGTCTTAACAGACCCTGATGCGTTCACCCGTCTGTCTCTTTGCTGGATTCGCTATGTCGATTACGCCCCGACTTCGTTCTTCAGCGGCCGATCGTTATGCGAATCCACGTAGCGATATCATCTCTGGACCCGTCTTCCAACCGTTAACCCGCGTTGAACCTCTTTGCGTCCATTGCTCCACATGTGTTTTTTCTTTTCGGATGTCATGGCTTTACGGCTTATTGCGTCATCTCGAATGGGCGTGATAAACTTAGCATTCCACGGCAACTTGCATCTACTACATGCCGCACCCCTTAATTCCTCACTCTTTGCGACTGCTGACAATAATAATGGGGGCGATGTGATCTATCTGGCGGCAATCCGTTATTAATGAATTATTACCCCGATGACATCGGGGTGCCCCGAATTTTCGATTTCTGCTTGGTTGAACAACTAGATAATCACATGTATCTGATGGTGGAACTGAAGTCCTGGGAATCAACTGCCAGGCGCGTCATCCGGCAGCATCATGCGTCGCCCCAACTGGTTCGAGCTCCGTCTGGTCTGTTGGTTTAGTGATCGACTGATTGATGTGACTTTAGCGTTGATCCCCGTCATACTGGATACGATGACGTCTTTCTCGTAAAACTTTAATTTGGCATTCGATTTTGTTTTTAAGCAGGGGTCGATCATTGACGAATTTGTTGTGAATACGACAGCGAATTATCGAGCAATGTGATATGTCATGTTTCGACTCTTGATCTTCGAAATCGTATGCATACCCTCGTCGGTTAAATCGGCCGGCTGTCGATGAAGCAACGTCTGGTGCTATCGTCCAACATGTTGATAACGGCTATAAAGGGTTTTGGTGCTTTAATTCGAGGTAATGTTTTTATGATATATTTATCGATTATTAATAGACCTCTCAACTCTCGTGGGATGACTGCGTGATACTGGTAATCATGGCATCACTAATGCCGCCCATCGATAAAATGGACGCTTTATTGCTTATCGATAGCAACCATTATTCGTATGTCGAAATATGGAAGCTGACGATCAAATACTCGATAAAACCAGGTCGAGTGAAGGCATCAATCAATCTGAATCGAAGTGAAGATTCGTGCGAAATCAGCCAAAACCGGTTGGAATGAATGGAGCTTTATCAATCAATGATTCGCGGCGGTCGATGAAGTACGTGGTTGACAACTGGAAGTATATCTTTTTCTTGAATCTTCTTTAAAGTGATGAATTGATTGCTGTCCCGCTATTTCTTAATGAACTAATGATTGATATTTCATCGTCAATCGATTGATGGATGATTGACCATGTTTAGGCAACAAATTGATGCCAGTTCGTGACGAAATCTTTCAGCAAATTATGCGCGTGTAAGATGTACCAATGTTCAACGAAACCCTGATAGATTATGAAGTGAACAAAATTATTTCCGTTAGTATGGCTGGCAATTCGAGTGACATGACTTGAAGGTTTGATACGCGAAAACAAACCCTTTCGGTCGTGATCGCTAACGACGATGCGGCATACGTTAACGCTCCATTATCGGCTTGGCCGAAGGTTACATTCGATATTTCGAGGTGCCTGAACTCCAGATGTTGCCGCTGACTTTGGTCCTTTATGACGCTCTTTGAAATCATCGTATCAATGTTATGGTGACTTTATCGAGGTTGAATTTTTGTTTCGTTGTTTGGCAACCGGCAATGTTCGGTATTATTGGACGATTCTTGTGAAACGATTGAACGATCCGATCAATCATGTTATCGATCGGCCGATCCTGATACACTTCGTCGTTAACCAGATCGTGGTGTTACGGTCATATACGCTACCGCTGAATGTGCGAATTGGCAATGAAGATAGAAGATCTGTTAACGCAGCGAACATCGAATAGCGTATTGTGCGCGCGGATGTTGTGTCACCTTCACTTTTCTTTCGTCGAAGTTATGAATATGACGGAAGGTAATATCGGCTTCTTCGAAATATAAGGCCGAATATTAACTCTGTCTTTATACGGGTTAGGCAAAGGCGATGATCTGTGTGCCGTCGCTCGAGTTGAAACCAGAAATTGATGATACGTCATCTGGTAAAGTATTGAACAGGGGTTAAACCAAAGCCGTATTATCGTGAACATCACTCTGGTAAAACCAAAGCGTTAGATGATACGTGGCTGCGACCCTACGGGGTTATGAAGTGGTGGGCTGCGTCATCTGGTAAACAAAGGCGTGACGCCGTCATGATTAAACAAAGCCATGGCTATCGGGGACCAAAATACGAAATATCGACCTACATCACTGGTAACTTCCACAAAAAACCGTAAAATATTGACTATCGAATATTGAACTGCGAGTTAAGCAAAGCGATGAATGTTGGCCTGTCGGTTGAACCAGGAATGACATTAAACTGAAACTGAAACGTGTTGACCGTACGGAGTTAGAAACACCAAAGCCGCTAATCAATTTAAACAAAGCCATGATGACCTCATCATCGCGGGTGGCAAAATAGATAATGATGACTTCGTGGGTAAACAAATATCAAATGTCTGTGGCGCTGCGTCATCTTCCCCATCGACTTCTTCTTCTTCGATGATGATCGCTGTGATATTAAATCATCGGATCTTCGCTAAATCGATAACGCTTCGATAACCCGATCGGCTCGCTGATACCCTCTTCAATCGATCTTCACTAACTGACCCGAACTTCGTATACTATTTCATCGATCTTCTTCTATGATGGATTCTTCGATATTCGCCCTTCGTGATGCGATCGACTTTAGCCCATGTTGATATTTTCGTCGTCATTCTGACGGCGAAATCGATACCAACTGCGTTCACCATCAGATCTATGAATTGATTTCAACTATTCCATATGACATTACGTTGAAATGAATGAACCAAGATCCCAACTCGGTATCGTGCTATCGCAATACAGCTTTAATAACAGGCCCGACACCAAATTGTTGAATATTGGTGAAGGCTTTGCGGTGTCGCATGTCGGGAAAATATACAGCTCGGTATTCCACGAGGTGATATTAAACAATATTGAGTTCGTGATTTCAGTTGTTAAATCCGGGTCAGCAGGGGCCATCGGTTTAACTGGTGTCGGGGTGAAGAACTTATCTTCATCGGAAGCGTAGCGATAGTCAGCAATTGACTATTCCGGCAGACATCCACGCACGATATTGCTCAGAAATATTAAAACAAATCGCTAGTTTAAGTATATTCTACTCCCAAACGGAATTAAAATTGCTTACCCCTCCCTCCAAACCACTATCGCTAAAGTGCATCCTCTTCCATCAGTCTTCAAACCATTCCCGACCCGTCGAAGATCCGGTTCAGAATTGGTCTTCAGCAACCCTGCTTGTCGAAAGAGGCGACAAACGGGATCGGGTTATCCAGGCTCGCTGATATTCGGTTGACACATGTCATCGACGTCTCAACTGCGTAGCATCGATGCTCATACTTGTTGATTATTTAGAGACCACAGCCATATAGCTGGAATATTGATAGGTGCAGCCTTGCCCACAATCGTCCACCTTGAACCTGGTCTTCCACCCGCTTGCTCACAAGACCTTCTACCCTTGCCTACAATCGTCCACCTTGAACCTGGTCCTCCACCCCTTGCCCACAACCCTCCACCCACTTGCCCACAATCGTCACCTAAAACCTGGTCCTCCGGCCGTTGCCCACAATCCTCCACCCTTGCCCACAATCGTCCCCTTGAACCTGGTCCTCCTCCCTTGCCCACAATCCTCCACCCCTTGCCCACAATCGTCCACCTTGAACCTGGTCTTCCACCCCTTGCCCACAATCCTCCACCCCTTGCCCACAATCCTCCACCCCTTGAACCTGGTCCTCCACTCTGCCCACAATCCTCCACCCTTGCCCACAATCCTCCACCCCTGGCCCACAATCGTCCACCTAACACCTGGTCCTCCACCCCTCGCCCACAACCCTCCTACCCTTGCACACACCGTCAACCCTCAACCTGGTCCTCCACCCCTTGCCCACAACCCTCCACACCTTGCCCACAATCGTCCACCTTGAACCTGGTCTTCCAACCCTTGCCCACAACCCTCCATCCCTTGCCCACAATCGTCCACCTTGAACCTGGTCTTCCACCCTTGCCCACAATCGTCCACCTTGAACCTGGTCCTCCACCCCTGCCCACAACTCCTCCACCCCTGCCCACAATCCTCCACCCCTTGCCCACAATCCTCCACCCTTGCCCACAATCCTCCACCCCTTGCTCACAAGACTCCTACCCCTTGCCCACAATCCTCCACCTTGAACCTGGTCCTCCACCCCTCGCCCACAACCCTCCTACCCTTGCCCACAATCGTCCACCTTCAACCTGGTCCTCCACCCCTTGCCCACAACCCTCCACACCTTGCCCACAATCGTCCACCTTGAACCTGGTCTTCCACCCCTTGCCCACAACCCTCCACCCCTTGCCCACAATCGTCCACCTTGAACCTGGTCTTCCACCCCTTGCCCACAACCCTCCACCCCTTGCCCACAATTGTCCACCCTGAACCTGGTCCTCCACCCCTGCCCACAATCCTCCACCTTTGCCCACAATTGTCCACCCTTACCCACAATCATCCACCCTTGCCCGCAATCCTCAACCCATGCCCACAATCATCCACCCTTGCCCACAATCATCCACCCATGCCCACAATCATCCACCCATGCCAACAAACATCCACCCATGCCAACAAACATCCACCCATGCCCATAATCATCCACCGTTAACCTCAATGCTCCCGTTTACTGACCCCGTGAACATGACGGTGTCATCACTGATGGTATTCAGTATCCCAACAAGATCGGGAGCAGATTCATAGGTGGATCGTGTGTGTGTGTGTGTGTGTGTGTGTGTGTGTGCGTGCGTGCGTGCGCGCGCGCGCGGACCCAACCCACCCCTTTTGTCCTAAAAGTTTATCAAATGACCAATGAGCATCTCGTAAAAATGAAGTGTGCACCCACACTTTCTCAAGAGTGTGCAACCCCCTTTTCTTAAAAAGCTGTATCCGCCCCAAATATTCCTACAGAAAGTGTTTTCCCAAAATAATGTCAAGATTTCCAACCACTCGAGTTTTATAGAAAAAACGAGATTGTTTGTCTGATCAAATCTGCACATGAAATCCCCTTATATGACAAAACATTTTTAGACGCTCTAGAATGATAGCATCGTGTTCTCTTTACATCGACGTGCAAACACCAGCCCCTCTGTGACAGCGTATAATCAGACAGGGGTCGACCAATTACACGCTTGTCAGGGTAGCGAGACGCACCGTGTCAAGAATTGATAGCAGGGGCATCTATCTGGGGACAGACCCATGTCTTTAATTCAGAAAATCTATCGCCAAGGGTTGTCCGCGTTCCCAGCAACACAAATTAGATTCCAAAATGCACCTGTTGTGTTCACACAGCCTGCTTCCCACAGGTTCTCAGATAGGCATTGACCATGACCCAAAGCGTAGGTGGTGACATTAGGAATATCTCGGCTTACTAGGTTTATACAATCAGAACATATCAGACACTTCGGGAAATACACCACGGACGTAATCAGGAGCCATTTTGAATCTACGTCTAGACCTTCTTCCGGCTTATACGAGGCTAAAACGGATCGCGTAATGAATTTTTGACTGTGATGCATACTGCAACGGTTTTCAATTAATATTCTTCATTTGAAATAGATGTGTCTATTTACCACTGTCAGTAATACTGTACTAGTCGCTATACAAGCCACAAGATAATTATATTTTATCTCGTATGTAGACGATGTATATTGTAATTTTGTTATGCTTCACAGTCAAGTCTCAAACCGGAAATTCACTTACACCTCCTTTTTCTGTATGTATTATGTTATATATACAATGTATTAATTATCCTAGTTCTTCTCGACTGTCGAAATTTGTACTAGTACCACATCCCTCCCAGTTAGAACAGGTCACCAACAATACCCGTCGGAAGAGGTGGCTCAATGAACAGGGTGGTCAGCACAGGTACTTGGTTCAGTGCATGGCATCGTTCATCACGGGGACGTGCCACCTACTGGTTTGCCTCAGCCAGTTGTGACCATCTGTTGCAATACTCTGTACTACACATGTTCATAAGCTGTAATACTGTTAGAAACAAGCCAAATTGACGTAATAATAACACTGACAGCGGTCACCATCAACCTCCACTAACTGTTATAGACATGACATCGACAATTGCATTGTTGATGCGTGGACGTATAAGCCACTAAAGCCTTACCACTCTTAAGATGAAAGAAGTAGAAAAGGGTGTTTGTGTGTGAGAGAGATTGAGGTTTTCAACATTATAACAACGTTATGTGGTTTTGAGGGCACTTCAGATTCGCGTTCTAAATGGCACCTTCGAGAAATTCTTTTTATATAGCCTCAACAGTCAGACTAATTATACGTTTGAACGAATCCAAAAATTACTTCATTATTACTTGTTTGATAACACAGGCCAGTGATACTAAAATGGCTCACTAAAATGATTATTTCCTTTCGACCAGCCACTACAAGCAACCATTTTTCGTAACGGATTTCTAAATGTAAACCTTAGCTTCTTGTAGGCCTAAAAACATTTGTAAAACTGATAAATACAATAGTAAGACAGCTAATCGTATACTGAATATATTTTCTCTGTAACGCTAACTAAAGAAAACGTCCAAGACAAAGGACACCAGGGTGAGCTACAGTCCCTAGAGACTGCAGGTTTCATTCCACAAAGTGATCTAAAGCTCTCACGTCTATGTCGTAAATCTATGTGAAACTATGGGAGTTCCAGCAGTTGTAGCGCTGCATCGCTTTGTTGAAGACTCGTCGTCGTCCTGGTGTGGAAATTACCTCAGTATGGATCGCCATGTTCCAGGCATTGTGTGAACTTGACCATCATCACGAACGCAATCTCCATTTCATATTACCGCTGTGGGAACATGTGTGGGGTTTAGCCATTTAGTTCTTGTTGGGCATCAGACATAATAGGACCTAATTAATACTGCATGGATTGACAGGTGCTTGTTTTTGCTCTATTGTTATATGCTGTTTCTTAACTTCATAATAGGTCCTGTTGGATATTTAACACGAACTTGTTAAGCTGTTTAGATTAATCTTATAACTAATTTTGTATGAAACATGATTGTGGTATACGTCAATATCACTAGATAGGTAAATCTGTTGAAGTGATAGCATCGATTGTTGGTTGATGAGTGAGTGAGTGAGTGAATGTTCTCTGTCATCACAGTGTTCACTACCACAGTTACCATTATATCAAGGTTTGGGGCGGTGGGGTGGCCTAGTGGTTAAAGCGTTTGCTCGTCACGCCTTTTCTGGTGAACCCAGCCCAACTCACACACACTCACATGAAGGTGACCTTTAAGGTACGGCATGTTAGTAGTCTATATATCAACCGGTGATTCTAGGACCCGGTCTATTGTATTCTTACCAAGGAGAAATCATATAGATAGTGGGAACCGATTTGGCGCGCGTACGAGGGCCTGACTGAGGTCCGGTTTTGGAAACGAAACCTGGACTGTTAGGTTTAGGAATTGGAAAGAGGTTGTCCATTGTCACAACTTCTACACCTACTCTCTCTCTCTATATATAAATAAATATGAAACACACAAACGCCACTGAGCTTTGCATATTTTCTTTATACACTTTTCATTTTAAAAAATACAATAATTATTGTAACTCGAACCAGCTATGTAAAACATCTAAATGATTTTGATATAAACGTTACAATTGACACAGTGAGCATTTATGACTGTGCTAATGGTTTGTGTGGCAGCTTTACGTCGACTGAAAACTGAAAACACAATACCATCATGTTTCTCATCCGATCTGTACAACAAAATAAGGATAGACTTGATTTTAATGGAAAACAAAATTCCTTTTGACTAGGTATGCCACGTGCATTTTAGGTCGATCATCCAATAGATTAAACGAAAACGCTAGTTGGTACAGTTTACGAAGCGGATAGCTGAAGTATCTCACAGAGAATAACTCCAATACATAATGGATGTTCCAAGAAAATCACTCTGCACCATCAGATTGTTTATTCCCTTACGCCCGTATGTATAGACTTCAAGACCCTAACGCTTGAAGACACGAACGATTGCCCCAAGGGTAGTGTGTTGTGAGTGGTAAAGCAATGATAGTCCGAGAAGGATATCCATACAGAAAAACCAATCCAAGCATATTGGCGGCAGAGTCTGTACGAAGTCCGCAGGGATACTGCTTGCCTCAGGGCAGATAAACCCTTGAAGAAAAACTGATTGCAAGGATCAGCGCTCTGATCTCGGACAAGACTTGTGTGACAGTATTGAAATTTTTGTCTATGAATTCTCTTCTATTCATATGTATGTCTCGAATTTTATGCACACTTATTACAGTGTGTGTCTATTAATTATTAAATGGTCACAAAGGGACTTGGCACCGTTTAGGTGTAGCATGTGAGCCAGAGACTACTGACGAACCAGAACCAAAGTGTTCCTGTAATTTCACCAACAGCATAACTGGAGTCACTGGTGACGGACGAGCCTGCAAGCCACCCTCCTGTAACTGGTTGTACAAGGGACAGAACCGAGATTATCAAATGCGTACCACATGAAAAAGCTTTTGTCACACATAGTCCTTTATATGAAATTGTGAACTAGAACAAAGGAAATCGTATGTGTAAAAACAACCAAATGTCGCATACTTGTTACAAGAAATAAAGAATATTAGAGAATAATTGTTTCAAATATTCTGCTACAGATGAAGGCAAGGGTGAGCAAGTGATGGTATTTATACTAGGAATCAAGAAGAATGCGGAAGGTTGTAAAGCGTCGGAATAATACAACATACTCAGTCAAAGTTTATACAGAATGTATTCAGACTATGTAAGTGGTACAAGCGCATGTATATTATCGCTAACATTACATCAGACCCGGCAATGTGTGAAGATCACTTTCCACCCTGGGTCCCCAGCCTAGGTCGATTTGGGAAGCTTGAATAGCATCATCACTGACTTCATTGATGTAATCACAGCTTTTATATTAGAATGATACAAAACAAACAAATGTTATGTTGAAGTTATTTACAATAAATATGTTCAAGCTTCTAGTGATTTATTATATTATATTGGCGGATTTGTATGGGTTAGGCACTTATTTGATTTAGAAGTTGCGAGGAGTTACTTTTTGTGTCAGGTTTGTCGGAAGGGAGGTAATCAGTTTGCTTCCCGGTTCAGGAAGTAGCACGTGCGTTTTCGTACCGTACACATTGCTTATAATTCATCTGGCCTATTCGTCAGGTACACACTTGAATCACCACGGGGCGATGCTGCTTCAGTAACTGAAGTTGGTGAGGTCTCTACTGAATATCTACTGAAGGACATAAAACGTTTAGGAACAACGTCTTGTTATACTTGTATGTGATTCTTACAAGCAATACTGCATGCTCCTCCAACATGAGGGGCGGTGGGGTAGCCTAGTGGTTAAAGCGTTGGCTCGTCACGCCGAAGACCCGGGTTC